AAAAATTGCATACTTAATATTTTAATTCTTCAAAAAATCGATTTTTTAAAAAATATTTTTTTTAGCCTACTGCCTCTTTTTGCTGTAGAAATCTTCAAGTATTAATTTAGAATTATTTGGTGAAATCTTTTTAAGAATTGAATAAGTAACTATTTAACAACAATACTGTATAGATCAGCTAAATTATAGAAATTCAAAAAGGATTAACCTCTAAAAATCATCCAACTTTGAGTATATACTGTATGTATATTGTGAGAGGGGAAAAATTGTTCAGATTAATACCAAAGTAGTTCAGATTGGTTTAACTCAAATTGGTAAAGAAATATCAAAAGAGCGGATATGTCAAATATTCTGGATATGTTAGATAGGTTATATAGGTTACATAGGTCAAATATGGTCATAATGACAGAAAAGTTCATAGTAAATTAGTGCTATGTAAAAACTATTTAAGAACAATCATATCACTGTAAATAAAAAAAGAACTCTGGGGAGTTCAAAGTTTCAAGTTAAAGAAATTAGATTATTTAACTTGTGATTCACTTTTATAGTGTGAAGCTCTGCGAGTTCGAAACTTCAAAAGTTCTTTAGTAGAAGTGTTGGGTTCTACTAATTACCCGATATGTAAAGTCTGTAATAATGATTGGAAATAGTGACCAAATCCTGTGATTCTGTATAGAGAAATTCGTAACGTAGTCTAGAGCTCTAATTAACCCTAGTTATTCAGATCAAGTCTTCTACGCCTCAATCGTAGCCTACCAATTAGAGTGTAAAGATGAGATATTATTAGATTTAGTAGTCTTTGTGTTAGGTTTTAGGTAGTAGCAACTTCTTGTTAGCTTAGTTTTCATAAACATACCATTTTTCATCGCCACAACATACATATATAGATTTTTGAAATTTTATATTTGCTACTATTATATGCAAAAATCATGTTATTAGTTTGATTAATCAATTGTATTTCTAAATATTTTTGAGTCCTAGTTCAAAATATAAGTTAGCAGTTGATTCTTGCAAGCAATAAAAATAAGAAACTAATAATGTACTTGAATTATAAAACTAAATGTTCAAATTGAATTAAATTTTTCTTGACCGTTGTGAAAGTCTCCATTAATAAATTGAAAGCATATATCCAAAATGTACATGTTAATGGAGCGAAACTATAAAATCCTTATTTTTTACTCCAAAACAAATCAAATTATTAGTTTTATAACAAAGTCCAGTAAAAATGTGATACTTTAGTTTTTCGACGTATTTTTTGTTACTGTAATTTTGTATAAAATATCTTTACTAGAGAGAAAAGTAAAAATATCACTAATTGAGTATAAGGCTATAATTATAAATAGATCATTATTGCATGTGATTTTTTGCCAATCAAATTTTGGTGTAATGTTACATGATCAGAAAATTCAAAAAAACATTTATTTTGTCAAAAAAGTTAAAAATCACATTATTGCTTGAAAATATAAACAGGAAATCACCTTTTGAGCCTCAACAAAAATTTTTTCTCAAGCATTTTACATCAATCTACTCAACTAATATCCAACCAAAATCTAACTTTAAAAATTTTATCATTATTTTGAAATCCTGCTGTACTATAACAGATAAAAACTAATAGTGCTATAATAAAGAGAAGATAGAATAAGTGGAATTAGTATATAAAATTCTGTGCATAATGCGCCCAAGTCACTTTTTTTAAAAGCTTAATATGTGTTTGGCTAGAAATATATATATAATAGAGTTGCTGGTGAAACTAATTTATGCTGGACCAGTTTTACCAGCAATTTTAGTATATAATTAGCTAAATAGTAAATATCCTAGCTATGACAAAAAAGAAGTGTCAGATCATGTGCTTTCTGAATTAATCTCTACCAATCAAAATCCAGGATATGAGTATAATGTAAAATTTTACAAAAAACTCAAAATTTTGTTTATGAAGCGTCTTCTATACTCTAATTAAAAAAAATTCCTTGCAAAAGTTTGGTAAAAAAGGTCTTTCTTAATCTTAATTATATGTTCTTTCCTTTTATTTTTGATTTTTCAGTATTCGTTCGGATGCTTCATAAGTTATATGACTCGACACTTCACTTTGCTATGACTAGGGTATTCATTCTAAATAGTATACCATCATTAATAAATACAAGAAATATGCACATAATTCATTCAAACACATACCTTTAGACAAAGACATTAATTCTCAAACTACGTTTTAGTTGCATTAGATTTGTTTGTTCTATCATTACACATATACAACCTTTTCTGACACCTAAATATTAGTTAATACTTGTTCACTGTCGAATTATTATTTACATCAATTATAACAAAACATTTTCTACTGTAGTTTTTAAAAAAATAATTCAACAAAATAATTTTATAATACGATGCTATTTATTGGTCATTTTGAGCAGATATTAAAGTTTCATCAGGCAATTTACTATAAATATTATGTAGGATTATATTGCATGTCTATAAAAAGAATTATATTAACAATTTCTGCTTTGAATTATTAATTAATATCCAAAAATCAGTACAAGTATTATCCTATTAGGAGTATAAAAAACAGACAAATATTATCGAAAAGAAATTAATGTTTGGGGCATAATAATGCTAAAGCATTATGTAATTTAAATTATTACTTTAAACATAATCTTAATAAAAAAATTCTACATAAACCTGAAACATAAATTAATATTATATTATACTATTGTAATACCTTACATAAATTTATTATCATCTTGGAACTAATCTATCTTAAAAATATCTTTCTTTAAACCATCTTATAAAAAAATTTGTTCATGAAATATTCAATGTTAGTACTATAATGAGAGCTTGCTGAACAAGACAAATAATATGCATATACAATGTGTACTTTGAGAATGTCATTAAGAATTGAAATTGGATAAATACGATACACTCTTGTATCCGATTTGTCTGTCTTTCAAAGATTGGACATCTTAAAAGTAAATTATTATGCCCAGTATTTTTTAATTAATCAATCTATACAAAGGCGTATACAAGTCCATCATTATACTTATAAGTAAAAATTGCTCTAACAATAGCATAAGACTCTCTGCCCTCTTCTTTTATGAGTACAACATTATCAATATGAAGCTTGATATATGCATAGAATTCTCTATTGTCATCTAAAAGCGTATATCAAATATACCGGTAAAGCTTAATAAACCACATTTTTATATATCTACGCTGTCCCATATATTTAGAATATGCCACAAAAAGACCATTCTTTAAAGCAGCATTATTATCAAGGTGGCTTGTTAATTGTGATAATTGAATTTCAACATTAGTTAACTGTTGTCAAACCCGAATGTTGTTAATTTTAGAGTCTTCTGAAACTATACCTATCTCTATTATAAAAAATCAAATGTAAAAGATTAATTTAAAAAAAAATTCAAATAAAAAAATACACATATATTAATTTAAAAATTACAAGCCAAACTGTGTTTAAAGGGTATAAATTTAATGTTAAAAATTATTAAAAGTTAATATGGTTTTTTGGAAGCTAGAATGCAACTAACAATAATTATAGAACTAGTTATTTTGTTCTAATAGTAGTAAAATTACTAAACCCATTTAGTAGATTATGAATTATTTCATTTTTTCCTTCATAACTATACAATTCTAGAAACTCTTTGCATTCTAACATTATTCGAGAGTGATGATTCTTTTCTGCTAATTTCTATTATAGTATGAAATTTATATCCTTTAATGTGATCTCTCACTTATTTTATTAATAAAGAAGAAATAAAATAATAATACAGTCATCTTTTATTATATCAACTCAGTTGAAATGCTTTTATATTCATGTTGATAGTGATATTAATGTGAGATCATATTAAAATTGATATATATTAGAGAATTTTGATATAAATTTAATATATAGAAATTTATTTTATAGTTTAGATTGATATTAACGAAGTTGATATTAATGAAGAACAACTGTAATAACAATCAATAAGAAGTTACTTTCTTCAAAAATATTTTTAGAGTATAAGTCTTCAGTTATGTACCATCCTGTAAGAAGTGGATAAAGACATTGATCTGTAATAATACATTTTAAGCCATCTCTAACATTACTCTCACTAAATCTATTGTTCGTTCCACCATCCATTAAATATTGAATAGCTTGCAAGAGATTTGTATATTGTATTAAATCCAATTCAACATTTTTTCTATTAGTTTTGAGAATAACTTGTTTGGAAAGTTTATGCACCATTTCTTTAACGATGCAATTTGTATTAACTAACGTTGTATAATTTTTGCAATTTTGCATTAAATGAAAATTAATATGAAGGTTTGGTAAATTTTCAAATTCGTCTAAAAATAGCTATTATAAAAAGTATTAAAGATCTATTAAAAAGTTTCCAAAATATATTTAGGCCCCTTTCAGCAATTTAGATATTTTTTTACTAACAATATACTAATGAAAAGAGTCTGAATTACTAAAAGAGGCCCTAGTGATGGGAATTATAAATATCAATAAAGAATTGTTAATTAACAATATATAAAATTAAACAATTAATAAATAAATTCTCCAAATACATAGAACTTCCTTGTTAAAGATGATAAAATCAGGGATTTTTATTGTGAGTTTTACACATTGTATAATTAAAATAAAAATCATTAATTATTTCATATATTAATTAATAACATGAATAAATATTTTATATACATATGTACGTAATGAAATTGATTACCTAAAGACTATCGCTATTATTTAGCATAATTGTTAAAATGCATTATTGTTATGTATTAAATTATTGCGATTTGCAATGATCATCATCTAACAATTACATTTTATTTATAAAAATATAATTGTTATTAAATGATTGCTCAAACAATCAATAGAATCCAGAATTTTGCAAATCACAATAATTGCTTAAAAATTATATTTAATTATTGAATATATCATTCTATTGATGCCTTCTATGCATTTGGATAATTCAATTATTTAATTGATGGAAATAAATTTTAACAATTTGCTATTAATAATTAAAAAGTCTCATCGCTACATATATCAAAAAATGTAACAATACCTCAATTAACATGCAATGTTCTTTTACAAGTACACCTTGAAGATGATTTAGATTACTTTGAGTCAACTTCATTTTAAAACAATATACCACAGCATCTGCTACAGTTACCCAGCATGAGACAATATTCTTAATAACTTGTTTAGCAGTTCCTCTTTGATTATTAGATTCTAAATAGTCACATAAAACTGTGAGATTATTTGAGGTAATATAGCTTTGTGTTAGAAAGCATCTAAAATAAATGGTATTATCATAGCTAGTTGCAATTTGTCAGAAAATATAAAACTTTTAAGATGAGTAATGAGATTAGGCAAATGATGCCAAGTAGAAGGCTTTTCGAAATATCTTCAATATTTTAAAAATTGATTCTCTCTATTTTTATTTAGCAAATTAAGAGTGCATTGTAATAATTTTTGAATCTTGCTAGCGACTAAGTAATAAGAATCATGAGGAGTCTGTAAATAGTGGTTTTGAGATAGAGTTAACAAAATTCCTGGTTTCGATCGAAGGCTATAACATTTTGTAAAATTTTTAACTTGAAAAGTAGGCATGTTTTGGTTTATTAATATTTGTAATTCATTAAAATGTTTTGTAGTGATATGATGAAAATGTGCACAATATATTTTATCAAAGGTAGTGTTAGTTAATCAATCCTTCAGAACATAACAGTTTCAACATCTATAGAGAGCACCTTGTTTTTTAAAATCACTGAGTTCATTTTCCTAGGATAAGAAATAAATATAGTTTAATTTGAGTAATACAATTTGGAATATTAAAATATTATACAAGATTATTTTAACTCTATAAATATATAATCTAAACTATGATTTTTATATTAACCAACCTAATAAAAAAGCTATCTATATATTATATTAACAAATCTTAATCCCTTACACCATCTAGCAATTGCAGGCAAATTTGTCTGTATACAATTATCTAATAAGCTTAGTCAAATATCACATTTTGATATCAAAAATCACTACCTTGCTTAACATTGCTGTGTCAGTAATATTGAAAATCTAATGTAAATTAGAGTTTCTTAGAATTCCCAAAAAGTAAGCAAGATACAAAGCCTATGTATTGCCCAAATAATATAAGCAAAAAGCCTTTGAATGAGTGATTTAGTTTGCTTATAACACTGCTTATCTTTAAATTATAGCTTATGTGATTTGCCTAAAATTCACCAGCAAATTTGCCTATAAGGTGGTGTAAAGGATACTGTAATTTTGTTAACCACTTTAAAAATCTCAAATAATCAGACCTTGCTTAGGCCAAAACTATGATTAATTTAAACTAAACTTAACTCTACTTGAGGTAAATCAGCTATTACAAGCCCAATTGAAGCAATAACCCAAACTGATTCACTATTTATATTCATTACAATGCTTTTTTCTAATTAGTAGAGTTCTTGAAGTAAAGGGCGCATTGCATTATCAAAATAACTACCATATAGCACAAATCTAACAACAAAATGATTTTTTAATTACCTTTGTAATTCCAAAGTCATATTGCCTATTTACATGTAGATGCCACCCAATGAGTAGTATACATTGTGGTAAGTTCCAAAGTTATCGTTGTAAATATCAATTATAAATTTGAATGATTTCATATTATGCAAGGGAGGTGGATTTGGTGCAATTATATATTTAGAAGGGTGGTGGTGGCAGAACTTTACTGGTTGAATCTGAATTCTTTTCATAGGAGTGTCTTGATATAGAATTTCAGATTCATAAAACATAGGGCAGAGATTTTAAATCATAAAAAATCGACCTAGCTGAATTTAGGTCAATTTTTTTTAAGTCATAATTTACTAAATTTTAGTTTTCAATATTTTAATTTAATTTTACAGAAAATGTCTTGGCGAGCTTCAGCATTCAAGTACCTTTTTTTAAAGAAGGACAATCAACTTTCTGGCTATGATATAGACGAATTAACCAAAGTTTTGGCCAATAATGATATCTATTCACCTGAGATGTCAGACCCCAGTAAAGAAACGGACAAAAGTGGTCATCTATATATTAATGTCCATGGCTTGGCTTGGAGGTTGAAAAAGGTATAAAAATTTTTTTTTCTGTTATACTAGCAAAAATTCAACCACCATTTGACTAATGTTCAGTATGTCAAATAATATACATAGTATATCATTCAACATACCAAACATCAGTTGAATGGTGATAAGAAGAATACTAATTTAATTAATTTGTTATTTGCATGCTGATTTTTTCTTTTTATTTTAATAGTTAACTAAATTATTGCATGGTGTCCTTGATACAGCCATGCAATTTAATTCCAAATGTCGCTGTTGAAGCTCATATATATTGATAGTCCTCGACCCACCTGATAATCTGCCTGATTGGGCAGTAAGGGATGAATATGGTAATGATGATGATGACGATGAGAAGAAAGAAGAGGAAGAGGAGAAAGAGGATAAAGAGAATAAAAAGGATAAGTTAGATGAGGCTGAGGATGAGGGTTCTGATAATAATGGTGAATAGAGGGATGATGAAGGGAGGAGTAACAGAAGTTGTGATAAAAGACCAGATTCTGATACTATAGAGGAACCTTCAAGAAAATGAAGGGTTTAATTTTTTTTTTCTTCTTGTTTTTTTTTCAAATTTTATTCACTTCTTTTTCTTTTCTTTTTTCTTGTTTTTTTCTTACTTGTAGTTTTTTTTTTTTTATTAAATTTGTATCTAATTTGGTTTAATAAATTTATAATATGTTAAAATTATCCAGAATTCGATTTGTATGAATGTTATTAGTAATCGATTGTCAATTACTAATCGACAGTTGAGTAAAATAGCCAATTTGACTTGAATTTAGCTATCGATTTTATACCAAATATTATTAGTAAGCAGTTGTGGATTATTAGTATTTGGTGATTGATTATAAGTTGATTTATTGTAATTAATCTACTACTGAATGAAATGGCCAAATCGACCTGAATTTGCCATCGAATTTATATCAATTTTATTCCAAATTTTATAAGTATTCGGTTGTCAATTATAAGTCAATTTATTATAATTAATCTACTACTGAATGAAATGGCCAAATCAATCTGAATTTGCCATCAAATTTATATCAATTTTATTCTAAATTTTATAAGTATTCAGTTGTCGATTATAAGTCGATTTATTGTAATTAATCAACTACTGAATGAAATAGCTGAATCGACCTGAATTTAGCTATCGAATTTATAACGATTTTATTCTGAATTTTATAAGTATTTGGTCATCGATTACAGATTGATTTTATTATATCAATTGGTTGTTGATTGAAACTTTCGACCTGAATTCAGTTGCTGATTTTTTATTAGCATTCATCTGTTGATTTACTCTATCATTTGGTATAATATCAGCTAAATATTCAACAGTTGAATTCAGGTTAATTCGGCCATTTTATTCAGTAGTCAAATTTCTTATATTCGATTAGTATTAATAGTTAACCAATTTGTTACATAGTGTTCTTGATACGGCTGTGCAATTTTATTCTAAACGTCCCTGGCAAAGGTTTTATACGTTGATAGCTCCTTAACCTAATAATATGTCAGATTGGGCAGTAAGAGATAAATATAGTGATAATGATAATAATAATGAAGATATGAATAAGGAAGAAGAAGATAAAGAAAAAAGGAAAAAGAGAATGAGTTGAAAGCAGATGAGGATGAGGATTATAATAATGCTAGTGAATAGAGGAGTAATAATGATGAAGTGAGGAGTGCTAAAAGTTATAGTAAAAGACCAGCTTCTAATACTATAAAAGAATGTTCAAGTAAACAAAGAGTTTAATTTTTTTTTTCTTCTATTCATTTTTCATTTTTCAAATTTTATTCACTTTCTTCTTAACTTTTTTTTTTCTTTTTTTTGTTTTCTTCTACTTTTAGTTTTTTTTCTTAAAATTTGTATCTAATTTGTTTAATAAATTTATAATATACTAAAATTGTCTAGAATTCAAATGTTATCTTTGTACAAATGTTATTAGTAGATCTTTTGCAGTATAGGTAACACCTAGTAAAATCAATTGATTAATAATACATTTATTAGGGGTGTCACCTATACTGCAAGAGATCCATTATTAGTAATTGATTGTTGATTATTAATTGACAATCAATTGAAATAGCCAATTCAACTTGAATTCAGCTATCAAATTTATACCAAATATTATTAGTAAGCAGTTGTTAATTATTAGTAATCAGATGTCGATTATAAGTTGATTTATTATAATTAATTGACCACTAAATAAAATAGCTGATTTGATCTGAATTTAGCTATCAAATTTATACTAATTTTATTCTGAATTTTATAAGTATTCAGTTGTTAATTATAGGTTCATTTAATGTAATTAATCAACTACTGAATGAAATGACCAATTTGACCTGAATTTGGCTATTATAAGTATTTGGTCGTTGTTCAGGTCAATTTTATTATGTCAATTCAATTTTATTATGTCAATTGGTTGTTAATTGAAATTTTTGATCTGAATTTGGCTGCTGATTTTTTAGTAGCATTCAACTGTCTATTAGCTACCAATTTACTCTATCATTTAATATAATATCAGCCAAATATTCGATGATTGAATTCAGGTCAAATCAGTCATTTCATTCAGTGGTCAAATTTCTTATATTCAACTAGTGCAAAAAATCTAAGAATTAAAATTTTAATAAAATGTAAGTCTGTAATTGGCTAAAAATTATACTAGCCAAAAGTATTTTATATATTATATATAAAATTCTAATATTAAATATTTTAAAATTTTGATTGAAGATTTTTTAACAATAGTCTAGTTAATTTTAATATTTAAGACTATTTCAAATTCTACAAGGTTTTAGAATTTGAAAATAACTTTGAATATCAAAAACAACCAGCTATTATCAAGATATATTTACTTAAAGATTAAAAAAATTTAGTAAAGAGGGTGTAGCAACTTAGTGAAGTTGGTAAGTTGTTACACCCCAAGTAGCAGGACAAGAGTTTAAATCTCACAGATAATAAAATTCAAATTTTATAAAATGTGTTATAGCAGACTGTATGTAATCTGATAAATCATCAGATTTGTAGCTTTGGTCATACCAGCTTGTACTGAAGGCTGTAAAATATTTAGTATAACATATGAGTGATATGAAATCTAAGTAAAGCAACCAGATAAATTTAAAGACTAAGATATACAGAAGCTCACTTAACAAGTTCTAAGTAGAAAAGTAGCACAAAATTTTGACAGTACTATATAAAGTATTGTTAACTGAAAAACTAAAAAATCTTATAAGACTGAGGTGTTAAGCAAGTTACTATACCAACCAGGCCACCAATATATATCAAAGAAAGGGTCTGCCCTTCTAGACTATTTGAATTAGAAGTTTAAAAACTAGAAAAACAGTAAATAGTTTGTATAGTAAGTATTTGGATAAACTCTACAAAGCCAGAGTAGATAATAGTAGTGGCTTTGGCTTACAAGTACTTGTTCTCAGACTTGATATAAGTTACCAAAGTTTAAATTAATAAGATTATAAGTATAAAAAGCTTTAGCAGATTTAATTTGAAGACAAAGGGCTCTC